CCCGCCCACCCAGCTCCGATATGGCCCCCAACGCTTCTCTGGCCAGCCTTTCCCTCCCTCCCAGCCCGATTTCCAGGGGGCATCTCTGCTTCCCGGATTCCCTGGAACTGCTTGGCCAGAGCCAGCAATGGGAGCCCATCCAGCCGCTCCTGAGGACCCCAAGCCCAGGAAGCTCCTGCCGCTGCGGCAAAGGACCGAAGTCCGGAGGGGAAGTTGGGGGAAGCAGCTGCCCCCCTCGATCAGTCCTCACGTTTTACCGTTTTTCAAAAAAAATCAATGGATCGCTCGTCGACTCTCTTCACGGCCCTCCGCGATTTTTTGCTTACTGCGCTCGTCTCGGGCTTTTATACAGCAGCAGCAGCGGCCGAAGATAAGAACGAGGATGGTCGGTCACTTTGATTCCAGGAAAGAGGCCAATTCCTCATAAAACAAGAGCAAACTCCACTCCTTCAATGTCAACAATGTATGTATTCAACGTCAATAAACATGATATATTCCCCACCCGGCCTCCAGGAAATGAACTGCTACATGTTGGTGACTCCCTAATCTGGAGGCTTCTTCCCAGCTCAGCTGAAAAGAACCAACTTGATTCGGAGTTATGGATAGAAAACATAAATCTCTTGGGGGGATCTGCAGGTTGACTATTATCTGAGCATGTTCTATCACTTATCTATATTCTAAATGATTCTTGGGCCACTCAATCCAAGATGATTTGTGAGTTCTTTGCAAATGTCTGGGACTTTCATCCATGAAATCTATGGAAATCCATGCAGAAGCCTGAAAAAAGGATGGCCTGTTTTGATAAATAACTGGATCACTTTTGAAATGGGCATTTTCCTTCTACCCTGTTCCTGAAAGGGAGCACAAGAATTAAAAAACTAAGGAAACCAGCTTAGGCTGTTATACTGTATATACCAAAACAGATCAATAGGCACATATTTTTATACTTATCTAGTAGAATAATTCTATAAAGTGTTTTGTTTTATTCACACACCCCTCCCAAATGCAGGGATGAAAAAAAAAGTTTTTTTCAACTATTTGATAACAAATGTCACTCAATAAAGAAGAATATTCATAAGTCAGGGTTGAAATGAGAGGTCCTTTTTGGTCTCTGAGCTTGGTGGTTTTCTTGCAGAAATTTCACTGCCCAAAGAAAAGTGGGTAGCTCTAAGCTTTGCTCTATCAGTTGTGCATAGCGAGCAACAGCTTCCTGCACGGCTGCCCTGTTCTCAATCTCCGCCAAGACCAAGACTTCATTCTCCAGGCAGGGAACGTTCCCACTAGAGATAGCATCCACATAGCCCTTGGCTAACTTTGCCAACACTGCATGGAGAAAAATAGTACAGATTGTTGGACAGTCAGCCAGACATCCTCAGCTATCATTGCTCATTGTGGAGCAGACTCAAGAATTTAAGGCATTGCGCAATATGTGCTTGCCAATCATCTGTGGAGCTTCACAGCCATCCATCTCATAGTTGTCCCAAAGGTGCTTTTTCAAAAGGCAACTGGATTTTCTTGGTTTTTCCTTGAAGGTGTTTTGCTTCTCATTCAAGAAGCTTCTGTTCACTGAACCAAACTAAACTGAACTGAAGAAGCTTCAGATGAGAAGCAAAACATATTTGAGAAAAAAAACAAGAAAGTCCAGTTGCCTTTTGAAAAAACACCTTTGGGACATGCCAGCCAGTCGGGATAGATGGTCACTGCCATATTTTCCCACCTGCATGGCTTTCTGGAGGATACTTCATCCAATAGAATGAAGCATACTACATGCAAATCTTCCAGACCTAACAGATATTAGTAAGACAAAAAAGTTCAGATAGTGGATGCAGGAATACCTGGACACAGCAGAAGATAACAAAACACCAAGACTTGTAAATAGAGATAGAACGACTGTGGCAAAAGAAAGCAATGATGGAACTAATAGCAATAGGTGCCTGGGGTGCAAACCCAAAACAACTGGAGCACCGTTTGAACCCCATCAGCACTGACAAAATCCTCATTCAATTGCAAATGGAAGTTTTACTCGGACCAGCTTACAGCCCAAGACGATACCTTTAACATAGTCAAACATGCACATCTGCCTATCCCAGATCCTTGAGGAATTGATAGGCGGAGGGCCAAACCCTGTGTAAACATGGCTTTTATAAAGCAGCAGCAGCCAAAACTGAAAGCGAAACTGGTCAGACACTCCAATTCCAGGAAAGCGACCAATTTCTCATAAACAAGGAGCAAACTCCACTCCCTCGATGTCAATATTATATTTGTTCATTATAAATATAATATTCCCCACCCAGCCTCCAGGAAATGAACTGTTATCTGTTGATGACTCCCTAATCTGGAGACTTCCCAGCTCCCGCTGAAAAGAAACAACTTGATTCGGAGTTATGGATAGAAAACATAAATCTCTTGGGGGGATCTGCAGGTTGACTATTATCTGAGCATGTTCTATCACTTATCTATATNATCCAACAGAATGAAGCATACTACATGCAAATCTTCCAGACCCAACAATGTTGATAAGAAAGGCAAAAAAAAAATTATTAAGTGGATGCGGGACTACCTGGAGACAGCAGAATAGGAAAGAAAGCACTGGAGAAAATTACAAAATACCAAGACGTGTAAAAAGAGATAGAACGACTGTGGCAAAAGAAAGCAATGATGGAACTAATAGCAATAGGTGCCTGGGGTGCAAACCAAAAACAACTGGAGCACCATTTGAACCCCATCAGCACTGACAAAATCCCCATCAGTCAATTGCAAAGGGCAGTTTTACTCGGACCAGCTTACAGCCCAAGACGATACCTTTAACATAGTCAAACATGCACATCTGCCTATCCCAGATCCTTGAGGAATTGATAGGCGGAGGGCCAAACCTTCTGTAAACATGACTTTTTAAAAGCAGCAGCAGCCAAAACTGAAAGCGAAACTGGTCAGCCACTCCGATTCCAGGAAAGCGACCAATTTCTCATAAACAGGGAGCAAACTCCACTATTTTGTTTTCAATACACACGTTTCCAGTCTTCGAGTAGCAATGTTATCTCTCCCTTTGTTGTTACAATTGTTGCAATTCTCTTTGTTCTTTTTATATCTTTTAATATTCCAAGTTTAAAAAAAGTCAAATTCTTACATGAAATAGCAAAGAAAGAGTAAAAGACACATGTAGTGATGAATAAGGAGAAGTTTAGTCCATAGGTTGTGAAAATAATAGTAAAAATTATAGAAGAAGAAAACTTGATCCATTCATTTCAAGCGGTTTGCATAAATTCCATCCATAAAAATAACATTTAAAAATTAAGATAACACACTGACCAAAACCATCCATAGCGAGCAACAGCTTCCTGTGCGGCTGCCCTGTTCTCAATCTCAGCCAAGACCAAGACTGTGTTCTCCAGGCAGGGAACCTTCCCACTGGAGATAGTAGCCACGTAGGTCTCAACCAACTTTGCCAACACTGCATAGAGAAAAATAATGCAGAATGTTGGACAATCAGCCAGACATCTTCAGCCATCATTGTTCATTGGAGGAGCAGACTCGAGAATTTAAGGCATTGCGCCAATTAGTGCTTGCCAAACCCTTGTGAAAACATAGCTTTTATAAATCAGTAGTGACCAAAACTGAAAGTGAGGCTGGTCGTCTCATCAATTCCAGGAAAGAAACCAAGTCCTCATAAACAAGGAGCAAATTCCACTCTCTCGATATCAATAATATATTTATTCATTATAAAAATAATATCCCCCACTCCAAGAAATGAACCTCTACATGTTGGTGACCCCCAAATCTGGAGGCTTCCCACCTCTGCTAAAAGGAACAACTTGATTCAGAGTTATGGCCAGAAAACATAAATTTCTTGGGGGGGATCTGGGGCTGGATCATCATCTGAGCATGTTTTATCTCTTATCTATATTCTAAATGATTGTTGGGCAACCCAACCCAAGATGATTTGTGAGTTTATTGCAAATGTCTGGGACTTTGTCCTAATCATCTTGTTTTGCTCTTTCTTTGAGTTTCTGATTTGTTTTTTTTTAAAAAAAACGGATTCCTGAAAGGTTACACAACTCTTAAAGAGAGGATATCTTTTTTTTAAAAAAAAATACATGCAGAAGCCTGAAAAAGCCTGGCTTGCTTTGATAAATAATTGAATCACTTTTGAAATGGGCGTTTTCCTTTTACCTTGTTCCGTAATGCAGAGCAGGAATTTAAAAACTAAGGAAACCAATTTATGTAGACTTCACACTGTAGAAGGCAAGGGCTGTAAAATTTTAATGTTGAGCCCACTTCTGAGAGGGTCACCCTCAATATGAAAACTTTATTGTTTGTTGCCACTTGCTTGCTAATGATCACGTCCCTTTGTTTTCCAAAAGTCTTTAAAGCTGTGCCAATTGGGGCTCTCTTGTTTTCTGATTTAATCCCGAGAGGAAGCTCTTTGCCATGTACAGAATGAACAGGTTGAGGTTTCCTCCTTTGTGTGATAATTGGCTACATCACACCAGGGAACAACAAATCAGGCATTTGATTGGGTCAATTTATGGTTTAACCAACATGGAAACTCTTTTTTTTAAATAATATTTTATTAGTTTATAATATAGCGTAAAAAGAAAATACAAAAGTTAGGGAAGGGAAAAGGGAAGAAAAAAGTGGGGGAAAACAAGGGGGAATAAGAAAAAGCCATTGACTTCCTTTGCTACGTAGAATAAGGCATTAACATCAAACCTCAACTTTTTATCTTTACATAATGGAATAAACTAGCTATTTCTATAACTACAAATCTATCTAATCGGCAAAACCCAAATTCAAACTTTCTTTTTTTTATATATA